CCGCCGCGCGCGGCTTGCTGGCTTCTTCCCGCCGCCTTATGAGGAATATTTTTAAAAATGGTGTTTGTAATCTAATCTTTGGTTCCTGGCAGTTCATCTACAAGGTTAGCTTTTATTTTGAGAACAACTGAGAGGATTTGTGGCCATGGGACCACCTTTCTTGGTTTGTCAGGTAGTAAGTCAATCCTGGCCTATAGGATTGAACCTGGGGAAACAGCAAGGTAACCCTGGACCCATTCTCTGTTACTGCCCAACTACTGGTGGTGCTTGAGGCAGGGATTTTTTGGAATGGGTCAGGGGAATGCCAGTCTGATCCAGGTCTATACCTGCTCTAGTCTGTTTGTAACCCGTAAGAGGGCTCATGCTCCACAGAACAAGGCTGCTACTTGCTTTCTCCACCCCTCATACCATCTCAGGGCTAAGTGGGCAGGGCCAGGCTCGGTAAAGGCCCTCAGTGTTCTTAAGGGGTTATCTTGATTGCCTCTTGGAGCAGCTCCATCTCTGTAGACAAAGAAGAAGGGGGTGGGATGCTGGGAAGAACAAGCTGAAGCCCCTTCCCACCTGTGCTTTCCTTCCAGGACCTATCATCATCCACACTGATGAGGCAAGCTCTGAAGTCTTATACCCCAACTACCAAAACTGCTGGAGACTGAGGCACAGAATCAGGTAATCACCTCTGGGTTCTCACTCACCGGCGAGGGACAGCACTTTAACACCTTTGCTGGCAGGACTCTGACTGCACTGGGGGCCTGCCCAAACCCTGTTGGTGGATAAGGGATGGGAGACAATGAATTATGCTCAGGTTTGACATCAGCTGTCAAGGAAGTGAAGAAGCTCTGGCTCGCAGTGTCAGGCTGGATGTGAAGGTTCAGGAAGTCTGGGAAAAGTCACATACTGGGCTGGAGAGATGACCATGAGTGACTCTGATGCTTACAAAACATCATCCTCCTACAACTCTGGGCTCTCAGGTGGGCCAGAGGAGGAAACCAACTGGCTAAATGAGAGATGACCGGGCCAGACACTGACTTGCAGATCCAGGTGTGCAAGCACAAGCAGACTCAGACTTCCTTTCTCTTACCGTCATGTTGCTGTGTGTGATAGATTGGTTTGGGCTGATGGTGTTTTTCATTTCCCAAGTATTCTGGGCTGCCATAAGTATGTATTCCATAGAAAAAAGAGAATGATGTTTTCATGTAGACCTGGGTTGTGCTTGTATTGTTTTTGTTACAAAGGAAAGAAATGCTAGAGTGAGATTTGGAAAACCCAGCCTTTATTCCAGCCCTGATACTTGTTAATTCCATTTTATAAGTCATTTGATCTCTTGGAGCCTTAGTTTACTCATCTGTTAAATGGGAATAATACAGTTAACCCACATGGGTAGTTAGGAGGATTAAGTGTGATCCCAAATGTTGAATGGAGCACGTTTTGTAAACTGTTAATCACGATGCAATATAAGGAATGACTTTTTATTTTTTGGCAGAGGCCGTAGACAAGCTGCCTCCTTGCAGCCAGGTATCTCAGAGGATTTGAAAAAGGTGAAGGAAGGGATGGGCAGTGACAGTAGTGATGAAGTGGACTTCCTTACCCTCCTGGACAATGTGGCTGCTGAGCAGGTGGGCTGTCTTCCCCAGCCCTGGAGTTGGGGGAGCCTGGGGCAGATGCCTGGATTAGAACTGGGTGGCGAGTGGCTGAAAGGAAGCCTTTTGGGGACCAGCAGTTGGCATAATGGTTGTGTTGCTGGACTCCCATGTAGTCGACCATGGTTTGAGTCCCGGACCTGGTGGCTTAAACTCATGCCAGGCGCGTGTGCGTGCGTACCCAAGATCCCGAGAGGAGAATGGAGAAGGGATTGTAGCATGGCCATCCCCTCCAGGGGGGTGATGTCTCGCTTTCTGTCTTTCTGGCAAGGACACGCACCTTATAGCAAAAACCTCTCCAAAAAAATAAAAAGAAAGAAAGAAAAAGAAAAAGAAAGGAAGCCTTTTGGTTTGGAGGCAGCTGTGATAGGACTTGCAGATGAAATGAATGTGGGGACTCAGATAGGTAATGGTCAAGGAGGGCCCCTCACTCAATTGTGGCATTGGGGCCAGCAGGTAGTGCAGTAGTTGAGGTGCAGGACTTCCACATGGCTGACCACAGTTTGAGTCCCAGATCCAGTAGCTTGAAACATATTGTGCATGTGTATACGTTCCTAACAGAGAAGGGACTGTGGTATGGCTATTCCCCCTGGGTGGTGATTTCTCACTTTCGCTCCATCTCTGGTTCTTCGGCAAGCATGCACACCCTATAGCAAAACTCGCTCCATCTCTGCCTCTTCGGCAAGCATGCACACCCTATAGCAAAAATCTCTTTAAAAAAAAGAAAAAGGGATATAGGCATTTGTAATAGCCCAAGTTGGAGTTTCTTGAAGCATGTTCTCCAGAATACCTGAGATGTGAGCATGCGTGTTGAGTGGGTAGGTAGGTGATAGGGAGGATTATGAGTAGAGAAGAATGATAAATTGTTACATGTACATTTTACATTTGGCATCAATGAGAGTCAAAAATATTTGGAATCCCTATTCACTTTTTGGAGAATGTTAGATCGTCAGGAAAGTCATTTTTCCATGCAAAAATGCGTCATGACTTTCCAGACTACCCAATATATAAATATTAGTATATTTAAAAATCTGAGATGCTTATAGTAAAGCAAGCTAGTTCATCTTTCAGTCTGTTTTCCTTAAACTTACTCAGCAATAGAATCTTTTTTATGTAACATACGTAAAGAAGACTACACAATGGGAAATATTTCTCTAGATTCAAAAGTCGGACACCAACATTAGTATTGAATCCTCTTTCCTTCTCTTGTGAAAATGACAGTGTGTCCTGAAGGCAGAAATATACCTCATTTTTATGTGTAAAATAGATTTAAAGTTTTAAGGCAAGATTTCATACAAAATATGTGTATAGCATACTTTTTGGAAACCACTTTTGGGAAAACAAAGACCAAGGAGAAATTTATGAATTCCTTGACTTGTGTTTTATTCTTTTTTTTTTTAAGTTAAAAAAAATAGTTTTTATTTTGGAGTCGATGGGGAGCCATGAGAAAGGGAGAAAAAACAATTCTTGTTCTGGGCCTTCAGGTTTCTAGGAATAGCTTCAGAAGGGCCTTAGGGACATAGCTTCTTGAGCTGTTAGGGCTCTCAGGAGGATAAGCCCTTGTAGGCTCCAGGGGGCCTGATCAGCTGCCAGCCTCAATAGGTAAGAAGCATTTCTTTCTGAAACTGTACCTGTGGCTCTTTCAGGTGCACAGTCTCCCCAGCTGCCCCACGTTGAAGAGATTTGCACGGATGATTGAACAGAGAGCTGTGGACACAGCCTTGTACATCATGCAAAGAGAAGACAGGTGAGGGCCTTCTCTTGCTGCTGGTTTAAAGTCACGCTTGGTCAGGCCTTCAGGTATATGGGGAGGAGGCTTATCAAGCCTGCTCACACCTGCCAGCTGGCATCTCTGTGTGTGAAGAGGCCAAAATGATCCCATTCCCTACCAGCAGGTCCTGGGTTTGTACATTTCTGGAGCTGGGACTGGTAATCTCTGTTTCCATTTTTTGTTATACAGAATCAGGAACCACTACCTTCCTCAATTTTTCTCTCTCTTTTTTAAAGAATTATTTCATTTTAAAAATTTATATATATGTATATATGTGTGCATGTGTGTACACACACGCACACATTTGACTAGAGAGAGACAGAGTGAGAGAGAGAGAGAGAGAGAAAATGAGAAAGCAAGCTACCTTGTCTGAGACTCAAACGGCAGTTAGCTATGTGGGAGTCCAGCACCCTTAAGCACCTTGCCACCTGCCGGTCCCTCTTTTTTTTTTTTTTTTTAAGAGGTTTTTGCCATAGGGTGCAGGCGCTTGCTGAGAGACAGAGAGAGATGGAGAGATAGAAAGCAAAAAAACCCCCTAGAGGGGATGGCCATGCTGTAATACCTTCTCCTCCATTCTCCTCAGGATTTTGGGTACACATACGTGCCCTGTGTGTTTTAAGCTACTGGGTCCGAGACTTGAACCACAGCCAGCCACATGGGAGTCCAGTACCTTAACCACTACACCACCTACTGACCTCCTAAATTCCTCTTAATCTCTTCACTTTTTCATATTGCTCAAAGGTTCAGAGGATATGGATAGGGAGAGCTGAAGGAAGATAGTTATTTTTCACTTTACTCATCACATTAGAATTTATAAATCATTGAGACCTTCTCCCTTGTGAAGTGGATGTCATTCTCCCTGGCTTTATAGATAAAGAAAGATGTTGGCTACCTTACCTAGGCTCAGCTAACAAGTGGCAGAGCCAGAATTTAGCCCAGATCCTCTGACTAGCTTCTATGTAACTGGTACTTAAGGTTCTGTTCTAGAAGGCTTCTTTCCTGACTACCAGCATGGAGAGCTTCTCTCTTAAATTTCAGATGATACCATTTTCTGATTAAGAGCATTCAGTTTGCACACAGAATAGAGAGGAAAGATGGGAAGGAGAAGAATAGTCCTGGGAAAATGTCTAACATTTCAAAAACTTACATGGTCCGTTGCATAAGAATAAGAGCCCCTGGCTGCAAATTGTCAAAAGAATAAGACCCCCTGGCTCCTTCCCTGCCACTCAGAGTTGGCATGTCCACTGTGTACTCGCCTACGGTATCTGGAAGGCTCCAGGCAAGCCACCAGCTGGCTGTCACTCTCTGGGACTTGCTAGCTACCCTTTTTCTGTTCATGAAGTGGCCCCACCAGACCTATGTTATCATTTACTGCCCTCCCCTTCACACACACACACACAGTAAATATTTTTGGCTTTGCAGGCTACACAATCTGTATTGCATCTACTCATCTCTGCCTTGCAAATGAAGCAACCATAGACGTGTAAATAAATGGCCATGGCTATGTTCTAGTAAAACTATTTACATAAGCAGGCAGGTCGGTTTGTCTCATGCCATAGTTTGCTTTCTCCTGATATAAAGCATTTCAAACAGGACCTGATACATTGTGCTTGTCATTCCAATTGCCCTGGTTTTATAAAATTTATGTTTCTTTCTTTCTTTTTTTAAAGAATTATTTTATTTAACTTTTCATTTATTTATTTAAAATTTGACCACAGAGGGGGAGAGAGAGAGAGAGAGAGAGAGAGAGAGAGAGAATGCTGCCAGGTCTGGGATGCAAACCTTGGTTGGCCATATGGAGTCCAGTGCCCTTAACCACCATGCCACCTGCTAGCCCCAAACTCATGTTTGTTTAAGGGTAAATGATTACAACTTCATAATACCGTCCAACTCTGCTTGGGTTGTACACATTCTTCTGGAAAGCATGTCATTTATGGTTTTGGTTATTACTTGACTTATGAAGCCAGTCACCGTGATTAAGGATTGGTCTAAGCCAACCAGGACAACCTTGCTCCCTATTGTCAGTGTTTAGGTTCTGGGAATTCTAGGAGAGGTTCTTTTTCTTTGATTAAAAAGTGCAAGGTCCCAAAACAAAGCTTCTGTCACTCACTAGCCCCCATCTTCCTGCTTTGTTCATTACGGTGAGAAGATGCACTTCAAGCTACAGCAGCCATTTTGTGATCATGAAGTGACAAGCCTAAGAATAGAAGGGGTGGAACCACAGAGCCCTTCTTGTTAAGTCAAACAAGACATAATAAGAAATGTCCTGGGGCTGGCAGGTGGCATGGTGGTTAAGGGAGTTGGACTCTCAATGGCCGACCGTGGTAACTTGCTTTCTCACTTTCCTTCTCACTCTCATTCTGCTTCTCTCTGTTCCAAAATAAAATAAAATGAAATAAAATAAAATAAAATATAAAGTAATTGTTAAAAAAATGTTTTTATAGTCTAGCCACCAAAAGAAGGAGGGCTGATACATAGGATATATAATCCAGGGTGCTGTTGTTTCTTCTGATTGCTTTTCTATGGGACCTTTTGGAATTCCTGGACATTCTTACTCCCTGCCCTTCCCAGCTTGTTTATTAGTCCGAGTCCTGGTTGTTCATAACACCTCCTGATTATCACTCCCTTGTTCCCCCAGCCCTCCCATCTCTGTTGTGTTCATAGCAGCTCCAGGCCCTGGTGCTTAGTTATTGGAAGTCTTTGTTCACAGAGTACCCTCCACCATGATTCAGCGTTTCCCTCCTTCCTGCCCATTGCTGTTCCTCGTGTGTTTCTTGCCTTTTTCTGCTCTGTCTGATTGGGCTCTTGAGATCCTAAGGGTCGAACTGGCCCCTACCCCCTGAGTGCCAAGCCCACTGGGTACTTAAATGTTCCTCACTTTTCCCAGGGAAAGTCTTCAGATGGCAGTAGGCCCATTCCTTCACCTCCTGGAGAGCAATCTGCTGAAAGCTGTGGATCCTGCCACTCCCCCCAACAAACTCAGGTACCTGGGACAAAAGCTCTCTTCTGGGGGAGGACAGAGGAAGTCTCTGACTGCAAGGAGGAAACCCCCTTAGGGTACAAGAACAAGGCTATCTCAGAGACTAAAGAATGATGTTGAAGAGGCTGTGAGTCCCAAAGAGGTTCACAACCGTTTTCCCTTTCTTCTTGTTTTTCTCTTCTACCATTTTTTTTAAGAATTGTTTATTCATTTAATTCTACTTGTTATTATTTTTTAAGAATTATTTTATTATTTATTTATTTATTTATTTTAATTTGACCAGAGATGGACAGAGTTAGAGAGAAAGAGTGAGAAAGTGAGAAAGCAAGTTGCCACATCCAGGACTCGAACTGCAGCCAGCCATGTGGGAGTCCAAGTGCCCTCCTGCTGGCCCCCTATTATTATTATTTTTTTAATTTAACCAGAGAGAAAGGGAAAATGTGAAAGCAGGCTGCCAGGTCTGGGACTTGAACTATAATTGGCCATGTGGGAGTCCAATGCCTTAGCCATCACATCACCTGCTGGCTCTGTCTACCATGCTTTAAAATTTTTATTTTAGCAAAAAGAACATTGTTTTTCATGCTTTTTATTAATTGAATGTGTGCCAAATAGAGTAGCTAGTTTTATCACACTGAGCTGATATTATAATAGTACAAAGCAAAGATAATTGCCTAATAGGTTAAGTTTTAATACCTTCATTGAATGTACAGAAGATATGATATCCATAATCATTTTTAAATGTTGGAAGTGACTCGTGTGCCTCAACTGCCTTTTGAATATTATGTGTCTTGGGCATTTGCTAAGCAAAGTGTGGTCCGTAGACAAACTGCTTCACCATTCATTGCCTAGGAACTTGTCAGATTCTCAGGCCCAACCTGACCTACTGAGCTACTGAGTCAGAATATGCAATGAGATCCCCAGGTGATGTGTATGCACCAAAATGTTGGAGTCTCTTGAGAGAGAGAGAGAGAGAGAGAGAGAGAGAGAGAGAGATTGCTCAAAGCTAGAAACTCACAGTGAGCATGAGAGGCATTGGAGACTGTGAGCTAAAACAGGAACATTCAGGAGCTTCGGGCCAGGATTTATGATAGCGAATCATGCAAATGCCCTTCCCAGAACCTGCAGTGACTGTTTCTTGCTGGCTTTTGCCACCCTGCCACCCTCTGCCTTGTATCTGTAGAATGCTGTAGGATTCAGTGCTTTATTCTAGGTTGGGGGTCAATAAATAAAGTCCTTGATCCTTTTTAAGAGATAGATACTGGCGTTAGGCAGATGCAGATTAAAATAGCACCTTTATTACTGGCTAAAGCCATTTGGAGAATGTGTTGAGGGCCAAATAGGGTTATTAATACTCGCTTGAAGTGAAATTAATTCCCCCACACTGCAAGCTTCCCCAGCAAGGAGCAGCACTTGCTCTGCTAAACTCATCACACGACTGAGAGCAGGAAGAGCATTTGTCTTAAGCTGGCAGGACCCAAAGAGAGAAGGGAAGTATGCGCTAAGCCACCCATGCTCAGTTTCTTTGAAACTCACTAGGGGAGGAGTGAGTGAGTGAGAGTGGGTGGGTGGGTGAGGAGGAGGAGGCAAGGAGAGTCAGTCAGTGGAGAGCCTCCTCATAAAATACTGAAGAGCGGAAGTAAAGCTTCTCCTACCATCTACTTCACTGGACTTTTATGCCGGCCTCAGCTGATTTCTAGATGTCACCTGGTTCTTTATGCAAAGGAGGCAGGCAGTGTCCTGTCTTCGAGTCCTGAGGGAAAAAGTGGTGAACGGTTTCCTCCTTGCAGAAAGCTATACCTCTATGCGGCTCACGACGTGACCCTCATGCCTCTCTTACTGACGCTGGGGATTTTTGACCACAAATGGCCCCCATTCGCTGTCGACCTGACCATGGAGCTCTACCAACACCAAGAGTCCAAGGAGTGGTTTGTGCAGCTCTATTACCATGGGGAGGTAAGACCTCTGAAATGGGCTTGGCGGTCGCTATGTACACCCCCCCAGTCTGGCGCTAGGTGTCCCTCCTTAGGCCCAGCGGAGTCCCATTGGTATCATTAGCTCTTTGAGTCCCAGGGCTAGGGCAGACCTTGGCATATGTTGGCAGGATGGGGCTTGGGCCATGTCCTCGTTGTGTGACGGACTCCTTCAAGGAAGAGGGCCATCTTCCTCCTCTTCTCCTGAGTGTTGCTGCCAGGATGTAGTATCCTGACAGTGAGGTCTGTTTTGAAAACTGATGACAGTGTCTGGGAAGCGTGTGCTGTCAGCACCCTCAGTGACTTGGCTGCTTCCTTGGGGCTGATATTCAGTGCAGAGGTCACTGCACTGCCTAGGGCTGAGACCTTTGGCCTTCCTAGCTCGGAGATATAGTCTTCCCAGCCAGCTCAGCAAGCGTTTGAGTGTCTCTTACAAGCAGGGCGTAGTACTTTAATTCTGGAAGCCGACTGGGTCGTGGGGCCTTCCTGGCTGTTACATGTGTGAGGCGCATGCCACCTGGGTCAGAGCCTCTCAGACATCTGGGCTCAGCTGAAACAACAGAAGGACAGGGTCCTCGGTGGACCTGCTGAGTGATGACTCTTCCACAGGAGCAGGTGCCAACAGGCTGCCCTGACGGGCTCTGCCCGCTGGACCAGTTCCTGAACATCATGTCGGCTTACACCTTGAGCCCAGAGAAATACCACACACTCTGCTCCCAAGCGCAGGCGATGGAACTTGGAAATGGAGAGTGACTAATATATACGCACAAGCAGGACGTGCTGGTTTTTAAATAAAATGCCTTCATATGATGCCTCCAGTGTTGTGTGTTTGGGGGAGCGGAGCAGGGGTTAATTGCTGTCACCTGAGGGAAGGTGTGTTCCTTCCTGTTGGCGTATTAAGGTCTCTTCCCAAAAAGAGCAGGGGTGTAGTGTTAGAAACAAAGCTATTTCTCTATTTTTGTGACTTTATTTCTAAGATCAGAAGCGCTATATGTTTCCTAGTCTAGGGACATCACGATCCTGTAGATTCGTATTGGTATCGGACTTCAGTTCTTTTTGCCTATCTTAGTTTCACAGATAGTTAGCAAGCCACCTACTAAGTAGTAGTCATTATGAAGATGAAAAGGCTCTGCCTTCAAGGTGTTTCAGTCTGGCATGAGAGGCAAATAAGTAGTTCCACCTGTGATAAGGCAGATGAGGGGGACTCTTTGGGTCCAGAGACACCCCTAGCTCCACCTGGCAGGGGCTTCAGGAAGCAGTTGGAGAAAGCTTCTGGGCAGTCCTGTCCTGATCTGAGAAGAGAAAGGTGAGTAGGCATTAACCAGGTAAGCAAGGAGGAAAGGGTGCTGTGCATGGGTGAAAGGTAGGCTTCAAGGTCAGGGGATATGGCTGGTGGCAAGATGGAACCCTGCTGTGAAGAGCCAGCAGGAGGAGGCAGGAGGGACTCTGGGCCTCTGGTGGCTGTATCTCCAGGAGCAAATGAGGGCTTCAGGGCTCTGCCAACCTAAGAGCCCACCTTGGGAAGCCAGTGACCTGGTGGTTAAGGCAGCTGGATCCCACATGGCTGACTGTGTGGTTCAAGTCCCAGATCGAGCAACTTGAAACCATACTGGGCATGTGTGTGTGTGTGTGTGTGTATGTGTGTGTGCCCAAAATCCTGAAAGGGGGAGAAAGGGAGAAGAGACTGGTGTGAGCATTCCCCATGCTGGGTGCTTTCTTGCGTTTCCTCTCTCTCTGGCAAGCACACGTGCTCTCTGGCAGTTAAAAAAATAATAATAATAACCTACTTTTAGCTGGACCCTTAAGGGCTTACTGATCTTGCTGTTTCCTTGTCAGTGTTCCCATCCTTTTTCCAGAATCTATTTCAGATCTTCCCTCATTCAAACTATCAGTCCCTCTGGCTGTCAGAAAAAATAGGAATCACAAAACCCTCTACCATCTTTATATTGAAAGCTCCCATATCAGGAAGCTAAGATTTCTCAGGGTTAAGTTTCTGTTTTTAATAGCTATTGGTCAGGGTTCTCTAGGGAGACAGAACTAATAGGCTACGTATAGACATAGGAGAGGGGTGTTTACTGGGGGAATTTGCTCATGACTGTGGTGGCTGAGGAGTCATATAGCCGGCCATCGGCAAACTGGATTTCCTGGGTTGCTGGTAGCAAAGTTCAGTCCTAGTCTGAAGGCCTCAGGCAGAGAAGCTGTGATTTCAGTTCAAGATTGGAAGCCTGGGAACCAGGGCCGGGGCAGAGATTGCGGGGAAGGCAGTCACTGGTGTTGATGCTGGAGTCCAGAGTCTAAAGACAGGTGAGTCATGAGTTCTAATGTCCAAGGCAGAAGTTTGTCTTGCTCTCTAATCAGTGAGACCCATCCATGTTCTCTCTGGCCCCTGTTGATTGGATTGTGCCTACCCATACTGAGGGTGGATCACCACACATGGTCTGCTCAGACTTACATGTAAATCTCTTCTGGAAACATTCCCATGGGCACACACCGATGATGCTTTACCAGGTTTCTAGGTATTCCTTAGTCCAGTCAAATTGAGACCCAAATCTAACCATCACAGACACTCATCCACTTGAGTGTTCCATAGACACACATTTTTTTCTTGTTGAAATCAAATCCTTCTCTAGACTAGATGATGGCTCAGTAATAAAACAGTGTTCCAGGCTTACCCATATGAGAAGGTCCCAGTTTGTGTCTAGAGACCTCCCTAAGTACATGGGGCATGCATATGTCCATGATCCAGTGCTGGTTGAAGCTGTAGATGAATTGCAGCAGCAAGACCCTGTTGGGGGTGCTTATCTCTCTCCCCTTCTCTCTGTCTCCTCACTAAAAGAAGAAATTAAAAATAAATAAATAAATAAACCACTTCAGAAAAAGTACAAATGTTTAATGGCCCAGCTGGTAGCATGGTAGTCGTAACAACTGGATCCCACACGGCCAACTGAGCTGTTTGAATCCCACACCCTGTGGCTCAAGAAACATGCTGGGTGTGTGTGTGTTAGTACCCAAAATCCTGAAAAGAGAAATGGAGGGCTTGTGGTGTGACCGTCTCCCATCGAGAGTGCTTTCTCTCTTGCTCTCTCTCTCTCTCTCTTGGGGATGCACACACCCTCTGGCAAAACTTTAAAAAACAAAACCAAAAACACTTAAAGGAAAATCAAACCCCTCTCCTCTCTCAGACCTGTTCTTCCTATGGGCTTTCCTATTTGAATGAAGGACACCACCATTCACCCAGCTGCTGAACTAGAAGTCCTGCTAAACTAGAAGTTTCTTCATCTCATGTTTTCCCAAGTCTAATCAAGTACTGTTGATACTAACTTGAATCTGTACACATCTCTCCAGCCTCAATCTTCAATATTCCTTCTCTATCATTTTGCTCATTGCTTTTTTTCTCTTTCCAATAGCATATAACTATGTCCGATTTATTTTCTCCATATCTTTGAACTACTGTGCTATTTTTCCTCTCCCTTTTACTACAAAACTCCTCAAAAGAGTTTCCATTTCTTAATTCTTCCTTCTCATTCTCACGTGAGCCATCCATGACAAGGTGTTTGCCCATATCCTCCAAGGAAACAAACCTTGTCAAGATCGACAATGACCTTTGTGTGGTAAATCCAGTTGCCAGTTTTCAGCTTCTCATCAGCAATCTTGGACTATTTGTGTGTTGTTGTTTATTTTTAAAAATTGTTTAGTTTTATTTTTCACTATAATTTTTAAATTTAACCAGAGAGAGACAAAGAGGCAGAGAGAGAGAGATAGAGAGAAATTGAGAAAGCAAGCCTCTGGGTCCTCCAGGTCCAACTCTGGTTGGCCATGTGGGATCCCAGCCCCTTAACCACCATGCCACCTGCCAGCCCGTTTTTTTTTTTTTTTTTTTATTTTTGCTTCTATTAAAAATATTCTCTTGGTTTTCCTCCACTTTCTTAACTGTCTTTACCGAATCTACCTTTTAAAAAATCTCAGTGAGTTGGAGTGTCCTTTTCCCTACTTTTTCTTGTGTACTCACAGTCTAGTGGATTTCAAGCAGTTCCATGGTTTTGAATACTATTTACATAATATCTTCTGAATTTATGCCTTCTAGGTTGAAGTCTAGGTTGACTTTTCCTCTTGAATTCTAGTCTCATGTGCAACGACCTACTCATTGTTTCTTCTTGGGTATTTAAGACATTTAATATGTATTATCCTTCCATTGTCCATAATGAACCCTCAGTTTCCATACCTTTCAGACCTGTTCCTTCCACAGACTTCCCCATTTAAGTGGCACCACTGTTTATCCAGTTGCTTAGGCCAACAACTTTGGAATTACCCTGACTACTCTCTTTTTCTCGTGTCCCACACCTAATACATCAGTAAATCCTGTTGAATCTCTGTTCGAACTATATCTACAGTTGACCACTTCTCAAAATGTTGATTGCTATTATTCTAGTCCCAGTGTCATCTTTCACCTGGATTATTGCAAAGGCCTCTAACTGGTCTCCTTGTTTTTGCCCTTTCCTCCTCTCCTAATCTGTGCTCAACACGGTGTTGCTTTTAAACCAATATCAGATAATGGTACTCTTCTCAAAATTCTCCACTGGTTTCCCACCTCAAAGTGAGGGCCAGTCATCATAAGGGCCCTCAAGGACCCTATGACATCTTGCTGCACTCTGGCTACCCTACCCTTATGGAGTCATCAGGAAAGTCATGACACATTTTTTTTTGCATGGAAAAATATGACTTTCCTGATAACCTAATATTATATTTCTACTTAATAGAAACTTTTTATTTTATTTTTAATTGACAAATAATAATTATATATGTTTATGGAGTATAATGTGACAATGTGGTACTTTGATATATTAAATGCAAACATGATCTAATATAGATATTATGAAGTGATTTAACTCAAGCTAATGAACATATACACCATGTCACCTATTAGGTTGGGAAAGTCAGGACGCATTTTTGCATAGAAAAACCTAGAAAAATATGTCATGACTTACCAACGAACTAATATTTATCCTTTATTCTTGTGTGCATGTGTGTGTGTGTGTGTGTGTGTGTGTGTGTGTGGTGAGAACATTTAAAACGCATTCTTTTAACAATTTTGAGGTATACAGTATGCTATGGTTTGAATGTTTTGGTTCCTTCTAAATATCATGCTGAAATTTGGCCACCATAGCAGTGTTAAGGATGGGGCATACTAGATGTTTAGATCATGAAGGTTCTGCCTTCATAATCAGATTAGTGCTGCTATGGAAAGGGCTTACAAGAGTGAGTTTTCTCACTCTTTTGCCATGTAATAACATAGTAGTTCTCTCTGGAGGACACAGCAACAAGGTACTATCTTGGAAGCACAGAGACCAGCCCTAACCTGCTGGCACCTTGATTGGACTTCCTGACCTCCAGAACTGTGAGAGAATAAATTTCTGTTCTTTATAAATTATCCAGTCTGTGGTCTCCTGTTATTGCAGTACAAAATGGACTAAGACAACAATATATTGACTATGGTTCCCATGCTATGCAATAGATAAATAAAACTTAATTCACTTGTCTAACTGAAACTTGGTTCCCTCTGGGTGACATTTATCTTCTTCTTTCCCATCTACTTACCCCTTACTATCCTTTTTTTTTTTTTTCTTTTTTACTTTTTTTTTAGAATTATTTAACATTTATATTTATTTATTTATTTAAATTTGACCAGAGAGGGGAAAGA